GTATATGGAGTGGAAATATGGGGATGTGCTAGCAAAACAAATATTCCCATAATCCAAAGATGTCAGTCAAAGATACTACGTATAATTACTAACGCCCCATGGTATGTTTCCAATATAACACTCCATGAAGACCTGAAAGTGCTGCTAGTAAAGGAAGTCATAATAGGGAAAAGCAGAAGGTACCTCAACAAAATAGGAAGACATGAGAACGTACTAATTCAACCGTTACCGGAAGCACACAATGGACGAAGACTAAAAAGGAACTGGCCAACCGACCTGAGAGAGGGTTAATGAGGACTTATCTCTGGATAAGACCCCTCCAGGTCACGGGGAATACCACAGCTAATTAGCTTATAGAATCATATGTAATTCTGACTGCTAATATTATCTAAATAAAAAAAATATTTTATTACCAGGCAACAAATCGAGATTCTCCCGTCATTTCACCTGTATGTATGTGTAATCGTGAGAAATCATTTTCCAGTTTCATCTCACTCGCGAGGCCTTTGCAGGAATGGCCTTGAATGACTTTATATATGCGTATCCGAGAACCGTTTAAGGATTTCAATTTATCTGTCATTTTCTCAGAAAAACATGGTCAACACCGGACGAATAAGTAGGTTCATTTGGAGGAATCACCAACAAATACAAATTATAGTGACGAAGAATTTCAGATCAGATTAAATTCGGAGAATATTTCTAGAATGGCGGCAGCACAACTGCGAACAGGGGGCAGCTGTTTGTGTTCTTGAACTTGCTTCAAGCACCAATTCTTGTTGTTAGGGGAGGAGGAGTTCACTGCCATCATGGTTAAGGTCGCTGACGATGTTGCAGTGGGTCGGTGTATAGCTGTTCTCAAGGGTATGTTCGACAAAGCAGTTGTGCCGCATCTTTAAGAGGCTAGTGATTCCCGGGAGAACCAATTCGTGAGCCTGTTTCCTTCCCTTTCCTGGTCGTGAGATCCGCAGAGGGTGACGATACATTTTCTTGTTGTCATCAGTGAGCCGATTGTATAGAAAATATGGGAGCCTCGACATCTCACAACCCTATGGGCCTCCACAGCCTGTTACAGAGATAGCTTTACCTTTTCTTTCACCTTACTAAGAGACGACTTTTGAAAGCAGACTGAGAAGACTTGGCGTGGAGAGATTTGTTGTGCAGAAATCAGCAAGAGTGTTAGTTATTTTTAGTTACACCCCCAAGTGGTTAATACATCTATTCAACAAAAACAACCCCCGTCTATAGTCACTAATAAATGTGACAATCTAATTTTTATAATATGTGAATTGTGATTTTATATATTAATTCTGATGGAGAAATGTAACCGATCGTAACACATCGGTACACTAATTCAGACCACTAAATATCAGTACAAATATCTATCAGAAGTTGCTTGCAGTATAGGATGTATGTTATGTAGCCTGCATTCATTTGTGAGTTTGAGAAATGGACCGCTAAATTTTGTATCTCATGCTCTTGCAAATTTGTAACTATAATATACTGGGTGTTTCAAAAAGAGCCTAACAACTTTGAAAGCTTATATAAATTTATACAGAGGATATACACAGCACTTTGAACTGTCATAATGTAGCAAAACACCGAGTTTTACCTCGGATAGTTATGGTTCAATGTGAGTTCAATTGGTAATGCGGCAGACGTCCCACATGTAGTCAGTCTCTTGCCCCACGCTACGTAGCATCTCTGGCGTCACTTCTGCAACTGAGCCAGTAATTCGAGTTCGAACTCAAAGTCATTTGCAGGCAAAGGTTGTACGAACACTCGAACGTTAACAAATCCTCATGAGAAAAAATCCAGGGGAGTAAGATCCGGGGAACGAGGTGACCATGCTATCGGCGCCGCTCTACAATCCACCGACCTGGGAAACGGGAGTTGAGGTACTCCTGCACTTCTCCAAGGTAATGAGGGGGTGCGCCGTCTTGCTGGAAGTGAATGCGTCCTTCTTGGTCATCTTCGTCTAACTGTGGAATGAGGAACCCTTGGAGCATATCCAGATATACGATACCGGTAATGGTCTTCTCCATGAAGAAGGGGCTGTACACTCTTTCTTTACTGAGTGCGCAAAACACGTTCAAATTTGCGTTATCACGAACATGTTCCAGGGAGACACGTGGATTTTCGCTGCTCCAGATCCTGCAGTTGTGGTTATCGACCTTACCACCGACATGAAACGTTCTCTCATCACTGAAA